TGGAAAATGCACTAATTCCACAGACGCAATCGTTCTCATTCAGAATATCCGAGCAGCTGGGAAAAAAATCCACAGATAATAAATAATAAATTGTAATAAATGATGAAAGGATGAAAGAAAAATAATAGTCTACTGTTAAACCCAAACATCTAATCTTTCAAGATCCAAACTAGAAGGAGTATATAACACCACGCAAAGTCTACGTGCAACAAGATTAAACATCAAAGCCATACAGGCCCATTGTAAACTGGGGGAAAAAACTGTGTGTTTTCATATGTAGTTTGAATTCAAATTGAATGGCGGTTGTTATCTGTCTTTGAATTCTGTGGCACGTGTGAACATGAAAACCGTGCTTCGGGGGAGAGGGAAACGATGAAGGTTACAACACTTCAAAAGGTGGTTTACCATTCATGCATTGGGCAGGAAGTGCTCCCCATTAACTGTGCTATAACATCAGTGACCCTGAGACAGACACTACCTTAGTAAGAGTAGCACTACCTGTTCATGAAGCTCCATGCAGAGCAGACACCTCACAGACACAATCTCTATGTTATATGGATGGTTTGTCCAGTCATTTGCCTTCATTAACAGCCCATTTTGATAATGTAAAGGTCAGCTGAAAATGGGCAGAACCTGCTGCTTCTAAAATAGTGGCCTGTTCTCAGTGCGGCAAACGCTTTATAAAACTGGAGACACAGAAGAGCGAGACCCCCAACAGGGGACCGTGTTGACTCTGTGCGGCCGATGCAGAATCAAGACAGTGACAGTTTTTTGGCTGTGACCATAACTTCATGTTGCATCCATGCCAGAAGCATGCAAGGCAAGCAATCTGGCCTGTGGGTTTGCGAGTACTAACAGATTTTGATCCAAGCATGGTAAACACCATCAAGCAATATGACAGACATTACATTACTGGCAATTAGCAGATGCCCTTATCCAAAGCGGCTTACATCAGTTACATTCTATTACAATGTTTTCCACTTATACAGCTGGATATTTACTGAGGTAATTGTGGGTTAAGTACCTTGCCCAAGGGTACAGCAGCAGTGCCCCAATCGAACCAGCAACCTTTTGGTTACAAGTCCTGGTCCTTACCACTATGCTGCCCACATATCAGTGATATACTGAGATGGAAAAACACCAGTGACTGCAATAAAAGGCAACTTTAAAATAAAATAAAATAAAAAATCTGACATTAGAGTGCAAGTCAAGTGAGATGTAAGCATGGGGGACAGGGTGCAGCAGACAGCGGTCTCAGCAGGCCCTCTCAGCAGGGGTGACGCTGAGGATAACTCGGGGAGCGCTGTGTCAGGCCTGGAGCGAACATCACCGTCCCTGCTGCGGAAACTCAGCGGCCGTCTCCATGACAACCGCATCTGGAGGCCGGCGGGGAGAGGGACGAGGCAAGGAGAGGGGCAGAGAGAAGGAGAGAGGAAAGGGGCTAACAGAGGCAGATAGAGACAGAGAAGCGAGGAGAGAGGAGAAGGGAGGGAGAGAGTGAGAGAAGCTTTAGCACTAAAAATCCAGGGTGCCTCAAACCCATGCGCTGGAGATCTTATGTTCCTCTCAGCTTGGTGTTCAGAGATTTGCAGCAAGTTACTGTGGCCTTGCCTATTAATTTTTCATGCAGCCCTAATGATTAACTTGGTTTAGTGTTTCACCATAAATCTGAAAACTGCACACATCCTAAAGATGTACACTACATTTACACTGTACAAATACTCTAGAGCAGCTTATTTTGGGAAATGCATCAGTGTACAAACATAAATATATATAGTTTGACTCCACTGCTCAACTGGGTTCATTCAAGAGTTCATCAGCCCAGTGGTTTTGATTTTAAATTTAAAGCCAGTGGCTTTAAATACAAGCATGTTCACTGATGCTATGAGCCAATGTCTTGAAGACGAGGCAATGTGAATCCTTCAGGTTTTTACACCCTCTAAGCCTGAGGGCAAGGGGCAAGGATAACAGGCTGACATCTGCCCTGCCACAGAGCTGAATACATTGAATCTGTATCTGAATACATTCTATCCTACGCAACTGATCCAGGATCAGCTGACCCTAAGCCCAACACTGTAATGTAGAAAAAGGCTCACACTTTGAGGTCAGCAGGACCGCTTGGGCGGGGAACTTGGAGCAGATCGTACAGGAGATCTGCTTACCCCAAACCCTCCCAGCTGCAGTGAGAAAACTTTTCGCAAACTGATCCTGGGTCAGCGGCAGGGTGTGGGATCTTTCGACACCACGTGGCGCCCTGCGCAGCGCTCCAAGTCTCATCAGCCGCGGCCTGAGCTGGCGCTTCCCGATTGGCCGGGGCAAACCGCCGCCGGCGAAACAACCCGGGGACAGCTTCTCCGGGAACGCGCGCTGCCGGCTGCCGTGACGACAGGCGGAAAACTCGCCCTGTTTTTCCCACCTGCACATGAGAGCGCTCTGCAAAACCGCTTTCCCCTCAGACAGATGCTGAGGTGCTCTGCTCTCTGCTCTGGGGGGGGAGTGGGGGGTGGAGTAATAGTGTTAAACATCCAGCCTCACAGCAGAGACCCATTTAAACAGCCCCCTCCCTTCCGGCACAGTGCCAGACGGAGGGAAGAAAACCCCCTCTGCTTGCCAGCCTTTGTTTTGTGCTCTTTTCCTTTCTCGCCGGGGTAATGACACCGTATAGCGTGCCTTCGGCGGACAATGGAACAATAGCCTCACCAAGCTTCTCCGAACGTCTGGGTCTTCGCACACTCCTCAAAATTATAGGAGGCTCAGACCCGGGGAGCGTTCTGCGTTGTGTTTACCGCACGTCTCGCTCTTGCAAGCGCGGACACGCAGCGGGCGGGAGGGCTTGGAGGAATTCCGCTCGCAGCGGCCCCTTCGTTAAAAGCCTGTCATTAAAGTAGGCCAGCAGCAGCAGGAACAGCTGTGTCCAGCCCACAGATGCTGGCTGCGTGTCTCCATGCGCTGAGAATGCGCCGAGAGGACCCTGCTGACCCCACACCCCGCCCTCTCTCCCTCCCTGAATCACATGCTCTCTCCTTCCAGCGTGTTGATAACCACAGGGCTGCGTGCCCCTCTGCAGATGAATGCGATACTCCATCTGGAGGCTCTCCAACCTGCACCACGTCTCTCCCTCTCCCTCTCTCATGCACGTTCACACACACACACACATACACACACACCCAGACAAACTGCCAGAAAGACAGATGCAAACAGACTCACAAGGACAATCAAGGTCACAAACTGATGTGACAGAGAGAGAGAGAGTGAGAGAGAGACGGAGGGAGAGAGAGATGGACACACAGATAGATACAAACACACACGAAGCAAACAGGCAAACCAACACCAATCTGAAGGAATTCAGAAAGCGCTTCTCAAAAATCCCATCTTCCCCTGTTAATTTCAGACTCCCGGAGATCAGATCTCCTGGAATGCTCCAGCGAAATAACAGATAATTAACTCCACAGGGAAACGACGGCCTCTCTCTGGGAGAACAGACACCGCACTGCAAGAGCCCACCCACTCGGGAGTAAAGCAAGGAGTCTTCAAATAAGGAGCCGGCTGTGCACAACCTCAAAAAATGCAGAGCAAAGAGTTTGGTCTGTAGCGTCTTCCTGTCTTTCGAGACAAACTTTGTGGGTTTGGTCTGAACCCGTGAACCCCAGCTGACACCAAGATGTCTGGCAAACGGTCTGAGCTGCGTGAAATCCTAAGATGCTTGTTGGCTGAGGCCACTTTATGAGTTCAGCCTGAATGTATGAACTGAGATGACATTAGGATGTCTGATGAATTGCTTGAGCTGTGTGAAATCGTAGTCTGCCGATTGGCTGGGGCAACTTTATGGGTTCAGCCTGAATGTGTGAACTCGGGTGACACCCGGATGTCTGGCGAATGATTTCAGCTGTGTGAAATCTTAAGACACTGATTGGCTGGAGCAAGCGCACCCAAACAGCCTTGCGGGAAGCTGTTTGCAGCATGGTCAGCAGTCACCCTTCAACCTGCTACAACCTGCCCGTGGGCACACAGCGACCGGGAGGAGTATCTATTCAGACAGAGAGCGTGACAGCCAGGGGAAAAAATGTATTACTGTTTAACGCCTACTGAGAACGGAGTGACTAATACCTGGCATTATTACGAGGTGTGAATAGACCGCTACTCTCTGAAAAGGAACATTAGTGCCAACACAGGCTCCGCAATGCTAATGTTTCAGGGAACTGTTTATATTACATAAACTGCTGTATTCAAGCCATTCTTTTTATTTTTAAATTTCTGCAGTTAAGTTCCAGCTCTCGCTTCACAGGCGGTACAGTTAATTACGTAACACAATCAGTGAGCCGTGATTTTTAAACTAAACGCATTAACGTTTGAATATCACCTGCTGTAAAGAGAGTGTGGATGTGGTGTAAGGTCCAGGACAGAGGAGCGAGAGTCCAGGAGAGACATGATTGTCAAGGAAACTAATAGCAATGTAGACAATCTTATCCAAACTGAAAAACACAGTTTACATAGGTATACATTAACCACACACACATATTTGGTATTTTGCTCAAACATGAAGGGGCTCCTGCATAGTTCAGTGGTTAAGGCAATCACCATGAGTGCAAGCTGAGCTGTACAGCCTGGGTTCGAGTCAGGACATGTCATTGGCTGATAAGACTGGGAGTGCACAGTGGAGGAACAAATTAGCTTAACTCCGCCGGGGATAGGGGTGGCTAGGTTGGCCAGGGTCCCCTTGCCTCACCCCTCTGTGATTCGTCAGGTGACTGCAAGCTGTTCGGAGGATGTTAGCAGAGTAGCTCCTATCCTCCAATGAGCACCCACTCCACTGCTGTGCACTGTGTGATTGCAGTTTGAAAAATAACTGTTGTCTGTGCACTAGTGCATTGGAGGATTGCATATGTCTCATCCTGTGCAAGTGCAGAGGTTGTGACAGAGACAAGCGTAGTATACAACTGATGATTCAAAACTCGGGTTAAATAAAGCGCATAAAAAATGAAACAATGAAACAAAAACAATGAAATCCAGATGGGAGTCAAACCTACGACCACTGGTTTACAAGCCAAGCAACTTAACCACTGTGCCACATTTCTGCCCCCTTAATGACAAACAGGTCTGACCCCAAAACGCTTCTGGTCTGAGCATCAAAGCTTGGCTGCACTTTTATCACCAACAAAAGACTAGGCAAACAAACCACAAGTAGTTCTTTTTACAACGTTTCCAGAAATGCTTCAAGAAGCAGAAAACACAAGAGAGAAAGCAGTGGCTCAGTCAGTGAGATTCTTGTCCCCCGTCTGAAACACAGGCCAATGCTGGGACATGCTGTACACATTCCACATCAGTGTTAGTATCACTGTCATCACCTTTTTATCTTAATCCTACTGCTCCCCATCACACCTACAGTATCAACACTTTACTGCATGACTCGGAGGACAGCATTCCCAGAACCACCTTTTTCCCCTCAAGCATGGGCTAAGCTATGAACACACACCCTCAGGCTAAGGCTGTAAGCACACAGAGAGTGTGTGATTTCCTCCCTGTGTTTCATAACAACAACAGAATACCTTAAACCTTCCAAATGCCAGGCGTGGGCTTTAGAATTGCAGTACTTTGTTGTGTCATAAAACAAGAACTGTGCAAGCGCTGCTCACATTGACTGGGACTACTTTGCAGGCTTCTAGAGGTAGAATGTCTTTACTGAGGGAGTACCTCACTCACTCAGCCAACGAGAAAGTCAGGCAGTGAGGGACATTAATGTTTCCATGGTTGCTTCCTCCAACCCCAGCCAAAAATTGCTGAATTCTGATGAGCACTTTCACCAAACACAGCCAAACTGGACTGCTTCATAACATGATATTTTGTCAACATGGATAAAAGTTCTTCTAAGAGGAAAAAACACTTTTTGAACCTGTTGTCAGTCTCTGAAAACCAACTCTGGGCATAATGTTTTGGTAGCCAAATACCAAGTCAATAAGAACTGTACAGGTCATCTACTTGACGTCTGTGGAACATCCAGCCAAACTCCATGGTCTGCAAGAACTGAAAATCACAGCACTTGCTAAACATTGCCTTCCAAATCTCTGGGCAAAGCACTTTGCAATTAGGGGACAGACATTCAAGATGTCTGTTAAACATTACATGTTCCAGTCTTGGTGGCAGGAGAAAATACAGAGGGGTGCAATTGCAATCTATAAATAGCAGTTGCAAAAGTCATAAATAGTATGAATAGACTGGGATATAAGGAGACATCTGGGGGCGCAGTGAGCTCCGTCGGGGGGTGCAATGCACCCCTAAGCACCCCCATAGCACCAGGCCTGGAGTGTTCATGGCTTTATTCTCACGCGCTCACCTCGATCTCCATGGACTGCATGCTGAGGTCGCAGGGCGGTTTGAGGGCCCTGGGCCGGGTGGCGAACCAGTAGGTGGTGACGGCGGCAAAGGCTCCCATTCCCATCAGCGTGTTGGTGGGGAGGCTGCGGACGTACTGCCGCACTTCCCCCAGCTCCGGGATCCGCAGCTGTCTCAGGAGATCTTGGGCTTGCATCGCAGGGCCTCACTTCTTTATCTGCAGGGAGAGGGGGGAAGACATTCAGCGCAACACACTCTCTTCAGCTCTCTATCTACAGAGAGATGAGGGGGAAGACATTCAGCGCAACACACTCTCTTCAGCTCTCTATCTACAGGGAGAGGAAGGGGAAGACATTCAGCGCAACACACTCTCTTCAGCTCTCTATCTACAGGGAGAGGAAGGGGAAGACATTCAGCGCAACACACTCTCTTCAGCTCTCTATCTACAGGGAGAGGAAGGGGAAGACATTCAGCGCAACACACTCTCTTCAGCTCTCTATCTACAGGGAGAGGAAGGGGAAGTCATTCAGCGCAACACTCTCTCTTCAGCTCTCTATCTACAGAGAGAGGAGGGGGAAGACATTCAGTGCAACACACTCTCTTCAGCTCTCTATCTACAGAGAGAGGAGGAAGACATTCGGTGCGACACACTCTCTTCAGCTCTCTACAGAAAAAGGAGGGGGAAGACATTCAGTGCAACACTCTCTCTTCAGCTCTCTATCTACAGAGAGGGGGGGAAGTCATTTGGTGCGACACACTTCACTTCTCTATTTGCAGAAAGAGGGTAAGACGTTGTGTAACTCACTGTGCTATCTGCAAGTGGAAAGGGGAAGACATTCAGTGTTACACACCCTGTCCAACTTATTTTCAGGCTCAACAAGCTCCTCTTTCAGCAGAGAGAGGGAAAGACTTATACCACAACACGCCCCTCTGTACGTCTCAGTCTCCAGAGAAACGGGGACATGCAATGTTACAGTGCACTGCTTTTCTTGTCCATCAACACATGACGGTTAGAGGGGAACGCCTAAACTTGGGCACCTCATCGGATGACAGCACACAGTACATTTTCATGGAGGAATCGGATACAGTCTCCAGCCTCCTATGCCGCACGTTGTTTTGAGCGGTCTCTCCACGCCACGGCCTCCTCTCACGGATGTGAAAACGAGCCGGTGTCGGATTTCAGCATGGCTCCGTGCCAACGCGTTTACATTGTGCTGTGGATTTGGGTGTTGATGCAGCGCTCCTGTGAGCGTAACCCAAATCCCTCCCTCCCTATTATCGGCCCCATCCTTCTTGTAACAGACTCCTGGCAAAAAAAAAAAAAAAAAAGCTCTGACGCCAGCCATTACATCTGCTGGGCTTTGGGTACCCCGTGATCTCAGCCGTGACAGCTTGGCGGAAACCCCCTGCCAGTGACACCCCACCACCCCTCCTCAGGTACCCAATGACCCTCCCTGCGCCCGGCTCTCCTTTCTTAGCTATTCACAGTGAGGGTTACTCAGGGACACTCCGGGATTCAGTTTTACTGTGCCCTCCAATGTCCTCTCCTCAGATCAACAGACCCTGCTTTAAGTGCTTACGCGAGGAGTGGAAAGTAAAACCAGTCAAGCTCAACCACGCCGGGCAGACAGAGCCCTCCGGAACTGATCCAGGATCAGTTTAACCAACTGATTACGTATGAAAGCACCCGAGGCCTGTGCTGGAGACCATTACTCAAGCATCCACGCAGAACCAAGCTCTGACAACAGAGGTTCAGTACAGTGCAAGTCACTTGCTGTTGCTCTTCACCACAAAACATTCATTCAAACATCTTTCCCCCTTCCACAGGGCCTCAGTCTCTGATAATATGAGCAAATGTGGCTGTACCAGCTGACATGACAGCACTGCTTTCAGCACTGATAATAGTTTTGCTCTTATGAGTTTCTTGAGGATGGAAAATGTTTTACCATTGTGGATACCTTTTAGGCAACCTACTGTTACACATACAATTAATCTGATCTGTTTTCCAAAAACAGAGTAATAATTTCATCTAGCATGAGCTAAACTGTAAGACAAGAGTAGAACAATTGACTTTGGCCACATAAGCTGTCTAGCTGTTACAGTTTTTCAGTTCAGTTACAAACTTACAACACTGTTACAAACCGTCTGCTACAAACTGCCAGTTACAAACGTGAGAAGTCACGGTTGCAAAAATGATTCAAAGCTTGACCTGCTGTTCAAAAGATCTGGTTCAAAGCTTGTCTTTCTTTAAATTACTATTATTATTTTTCTGACATGTTTTTGGTTTTCAAAAAAAAAAAAAGCCAAGTGTAACAACACCCCCAGCAACTATCCTTAAAAATCTACCTGCTGATGACCAGACCTTGTAAAGTCTTCATGAGTGCAGGATGCTTTCAGAAGAAGCCAGAACTAGAGGCCATGATGCAATCCTTCTGTTGCTACAGAGACATGGGCCAAACAATCGGTCCTTTCTGTCTTTGTCTGCGGAACAATGAACCACAGCAGATCTTTATTCAGAGTTGCGTAAACATTTTTCACAACCGTGACTATGGTTCACCCGGCTCGCTGGAGGACAGCACTGCAGACAACAGATTATGTTATTTAAAAATAGAGACCATTGCGCAAAATCATGACCTTGTCTTTAATGCAGGTCAAACGTATAGCAGTGCAAAGGGGAACTTCTCTCTTTTTCTGTGCTCACCATCAGACATATTACAGATGCACTGGGAGCAAGTGGTCAAGCACACAGGACATTCTAAATTACAATATTTACACAGACAACATACTTCTTATCGGATAGTTGGAAGTGCTGGTTAATTATTATGACAAAAACATCATTTTCATTTTTACCATATCAGTACTGTTTTAGTGACCCCTGTACCAATAATTTAAAAATATGGTTATATATCTCTAAATCCAGTGAAGTCAATGCAATATTTATATTTTACCATTTTTACCCTACTAATCTCAAAATGGCAGTATTGAACGACAGCAACGGCAAACATGTTTTAATCTAGGCAGTTATGACTGCTCCTGTGTGGGTTTATGTGATTACTTTCTATAAGGAAGTCAAGTCTCATGTGTGTGTCTTGATATGAATCATACCATGATACTCTTTACATCATGAGTAACGCGCCGAACACGCAACCCTACACCATTAAGAGGAAGACCGTTATGAGACTTTACACCACGGTCTTCCAAGCACCGCAGTTCGCTGCGTGCTCCTTCAACCTTTCACCCACTTCTACGTTTGTCCCTAATGACCTCCTTATTCCACTGGTCATCGTATATGAAATCAATGTCCAATCAACCTCAACCTTCTGTCTGATCTTGACCAAGCATTCCCTACAAACGCTCAACCTGTGGAGAAAAGATTACTGTAAAAACACTAGGCTCAGTTAGGTACAGTCAGAACAGATAAGTTCAGGAAAAACACCTCCTGTACAGGCTGACATTCAGGTCTGTGCTTACACTGTAAACACTTCTACTGCCGAACCTTTCTGGAAAGCATGTTATTATTTTTAAAGGAGAAGGCGCTGAAAGGTATTTTTTTAATGACTTCATACAGAAATGTTTTGACTACTGGAGCACTCGATACAGCCCGTTTACTGAGGCAAGACGCAGTGGATGCATGACAAGGTTAATAACTGAATTCTGTTAACTCGGGTAATCATTTTCAGCAGACACAAGATACAAACATAAAAAACAGAAAAAAAGTGCAACTGCAGGAAGTAAATATGTATC